GCCCAATGATTCCCATGATACATGCGGCGTCGTCGCTCTGGCTGTCACAATGCCCTCGGGCAGAGCCATGAGCATTGTGCTAAGACGACAGATCATTTTTAGATCAGATGTTAATAGCGAATTAAAATTTAAAATCCCTCATACTTCAGAGAGACTGGTCCGTGCGGGGGGGTGGGGGGTGGCACCCTTTTCCGGCTTCGTCCATCTGCCGCATTTCCTCTGCTTGGGCCTGTCCTGGGTTGTCTCGGCAAGGCCCTGTCCTGGGTTGCTTGGTTTGGCCCTGTCCTGGGTTGTCTCGGCAAGGCCCTGTCCTGGGTTGCTTGGTTTGGCCCTGTCCTGGGTTGCTTGGCTTGGCCCTGCCCTGGGTTGCTTGGCTTGGCCCTGTCCTGGGTTGCCTCGGCAGGGCCCTGTCCTGGGTTGCTTGGCTTGGCCCTGTCCTGGGTTGCTTGGCTTGACCCTGTCCTGGGTTGCTTGGCTTGGCCCTGTCCTGGGTTGCTTGNTGGGTTGTCTCGGCATGGCCCTGTCCTGGGTTTCTTGGCATGGCCCTGTCCTGGGTGGTCTCGGCATGGCCCTGTCCTGGGTTGCTTGGCTTGGCCCTGTCCTGGGTTGTCTCGGCATGGCCCTGTCCTGGGTTGTCTCGTCATGGCCCTGTCCTGGGTTGTTTGGCTTGGCCCTGTCCTGGGTTGCTTGGCTTTGTCCTGTCCTGGGCTGCCTCGAGACGGCCCTGTCCTGGGTTGCCTCGACATGGCCCTGTCCTGGGTTGTCTTGGCTTCCTTACAGGTGCGAAATATTACACTTTTAATAATTTTATTTCTTTTTTAATCTAATGCAGGGCCGGCCAAATGGATGCTGGCGCCCTGGGCAAGATTTACCTTGGCGCCCCTTTTAAGTATAATCACACAATTTTTGCAAGGAAAAAAATAGTGTCTTTTAAATTAGTTTATTGGCTAGTTTTTTTGTTTCTTTAAAAACAATTATGAACAATAATATTGTATTTCTTGACTTGATTTCGGACAGTATGAACAATTAGCCTACTGATGACATTTATTTCTAGCCCTTAGATCAGTAAATCTTTTGATTGCACTTTCTATATTTATGTTCTTTGCAATATAATTTTTCCTCTAGACAAAATTGCCAAAGAATTCATTCTGTTTTTAAGACATGGATGATCCTAAATATGTTTAGTAAACTGAAGCTTGTCTCAGCAGATGCTACAATAATAGGTTATATTGTAAGCATTATCCTTAATGCTACCCACAGATTTGGCATGACATCCTTTAGCTTATTAGTGTTTTCGAATTTATTGGCTTGTATTGGAAGCTTTACGTCATGATGAAATAGTTATTATATATTTAAATCAGTCAACAGATCACAATCATTGATATCGCTATTTTAGTAATAGCTCAACTTAATCTCCAAACCTTGACATGTTGTTTTGAGCTTATCTCTGACTGGCATATTTAAAAATCTACATGTGTTACCGATATTGAAACGTTGCAACTGTTCAAATCTATGTAACAAAGAATGCATATCTCCGTCCAGCATTGCATTGAACACGTGCTTTTTTAAATTATTTTTACTGGGTCATCCGAAACTTCGTCAGTGCCCTCATATTTTTTAAGAAGTCTACTTCTCCTCCTTCTTTTATTGATATAAAATGGCCCCTGCATCTATTACTGCATCTATCTACTGCATCTATCTACTGCATCTATCTACTGCATCTATCTACTGCATCTATCTACTGCATTTATCTACTGCATCTAGATCTGTATCTACTTTTGTTGTCGACTCTAGTGCATTTCCAAACCTATTTGCACGATAATCAATAAAATAATCAGTGACACTGTTCCTTAGTGAAACTGCAGTATAGTTCCATAGAAGCGTCCTATATGGTATTGCTGACAACATTAATAAGCCTGCCTGAGATATCATACCAGATATTTATCATCACTAAAAAAACCAAATATATTCTTCTATTTGCTAATACAAGTGTTTCTGCTTCATGTGGCACTACTTGAAGTTTATAAAGAGCTTCTGGAATTTCTTTTATTTCATGTTTAATGGCTTTACACATTCATTTTTGCCCTTCCATAAAGGTTTTACAATGACATAGTTAATGGGTTTTGTTTCAATATGCGCCATAATTCAGGAAAAGCAAAAAAAAAAAAAGAAGAAGAAGAAGAAGAAGTGGAATCCAGACAAGTTGTTGCACTGTCACCAACCACTAAGTTTAGGCTATGATATCATAGGGCATATAAAAGTCAAATGGATTTTACTTCATAATCTTTGCCATCATTCCTTTAAGTTTTGCCCCATATTGGTTGGAACCATTGTAGTTCTGGCCTATGGAGTTGTGTAAGTTTTTTGCTCTCTTTCAAAAAATAAATTGTATTTTCATAAAATCCGTGACCTGAAGCTTATATAAACAGTCTTATAGCTAAGAAAATGTTCCTTTACAGGCATGTCTTCTACATCTAAAAATCTGATAGTAAAAGGACAGCTGCTCCAAGTGACTAATTCCTGGTGTACAGTCTAAAATAAGGCTGGAATATTTTGCTTATTTAGCTGGGCTAATAATATTTTTGTTAAAAAGCATTTCCGAAAAAATAGATTATTTGTTCTGAACTTTTTCCCACAATAGTGAAAGTTACTTAACGTGAGTTTCTTTGAACACAACTTTACGTAGATGTTCACTCATTGTTAAATCGAATTTTCCAAGTAGCACAAAATCTTAAAAAATTCCCATTAAACTGACTGGATGCACCTGCAAACGAGGCCACTGCCTTTGCCAGCACGTCCCGTGCACGAACATATGATTTATTATTTGGTATGGCATACAAACATTTGGCACTAAAATGTATGTTTCTTTCTTGGCGCCCACATGCAATACTTTTTTCCTATTTTGGAAGATCGTTGATGGCGCCCTAAGCATGTGACGTCCCAGTCAACTGCCCGAGTTACCTGTACCTTGATTCCACCCTGATCCAATGTGACATCCAGCGGTCGTGACGCAAACACTTGAGTAACTACTGTTTGCAGTGACCAGATTTTTACCCAAACTCTTATTTAATTTTGTTTAGATATTCCCTATTTCGAATTATGACTTGTTCGAATTTAACAAAGGGAGCCTGGTGAAACCCTTCATTTGGCCATGGCGCCGGGAATTTTAAAAACAAAATGTGAGTCAAAACTGGCGTAGCTGCGCACGTTGAACATACGGTGGTCGAAATAGTACTGTTACAACTGCCACTACTGAGTACTGTTGGAGCGACAGCTAGCGATTTCATTTGGAGAAAACAGAAGGCAACATTACGACGATAATTCTTACAAAACATTCCATGATGCTTTTACAGCAATGGAGACATAAATAAGCTATATTTAGGCTGTAGCGTTAGTTGTGACACAGACTCGGTTGTTCCCGAGGTAAATATTACGCCGACTGATCCATGGATCGTTCATAAGGTTCGTCCCTTCCACCAGTCTAGCTCTGAGTTCTGAGACAACGGGGGCCCTTACCCCATCCCGTCTTTTCTTGTAAAGCAGATTTATTTCATTCTAAGAAAACGAGTCTTTTTTTTAATAGGAATCAAACGGTTTAAAAAAAAAAAATCAAATCTCGGTCCTTTCTTCTTCTTTTTTTCCTCTTTAAAAATGTCCTCGTGATAATTGTGGCCCGTAACCAACCGTGTATATTTATTTTATCGCCCTATAAAATGTGTATTCAAATGGTTTCAATAACTCTTCAAAGTGTTACATTTTATTTTAATGGCAAATAGGACAAACATGGGGCAAGGCATTCAAACAAGAAATTTGCATTTAAACACATTTTAAAACATCTTTTTTTGTCTCTTGAAAGAAACCACGCGAAAATTAATTCGCCTTATTCTATCTAGTGCAACCGTAGTCCAGAGGACGTAACTAAATCGCACTGTATAAATGAAGGCACATAAAATTCAGAAAATCATACAAATAGTAACACATGTAATTAATGAGCTTTACTGTTATCTCACAGATCACTCTCATTTTCAATTTAAGTTCTTTAAAATTTAACTTCAACCAACATTTGTTCTGCCACGTTACCGAAGAAAAATAAAAAAGATAAGTGGTGTTCAGTTTATTGATAAGCTTACACTACTTTGACCGGGAGGTTAAGGAACGCTGTCCCCTGCGTCCCACACTGTTCGGATTACGCCCTGGTTCCAATTTCATTTAGCTAGAAAATTAACCTGTCCCGTCTGAGAAAGGTAGATTATCTCCAACTCATTTACATCAGAGCTTGGTCGTGATCAGATTAAATATATTGAAGATAATACAGATATTGCAAAGACTTTTAAGTTCTAGTTACATTACGCCAATTGCATAATGTGCTAATGTTTGAAATAACGCGTATCGTGTTGTCTCTGCTGACAGCCGAGAAGTGATGTTATGTATTTGTAGCTTCTATTCAGCCAGCCAATACACCCCTTTATAATTTTATATTTGCAAGTAGGGACTACTTCACTGGCGTAGGAAGGCGCTGGGTGGTTTTTTCTCTTGAAAGAGTGTGGGGAAAAACGCTTGGCCCGCCCCGGGCTGCACAAAATCCTAGCTACGTCACTGGCCTTCTTGTATTTTTTTCACCGAAGAAGGCTTCAGACGACAAATTCTTTGTTTTCAATATGTTCTGTCACACTTTGACAGCGCTTAGAAAACGAAATTAAAAAAGATAAGAATACGAAATGTCTTTTCCTCCAATGGCGTCATCAAAAAGACGTTTGGGCAATAACTATAAAATTGGCTGCCGTCAATATATATATATATATATTATTTTTAAATACCACTACACGCATACAATAATCCACAGAAACAACTTAACACTTTTTTTTAATTAATGACAAAATAAATTATATTTTTAATTTAATTTTTAATGCTTAAACAAGATATAAGATTAAAAAATAAATAAAAAATTATAGATCCTTTTTATAATTTATTGATTAGAATGAATAAATAAATAAAAAATACATCTTTTGCAGCATTGGCTCTCAAACTTTTGTTCTGATCATCAGTCCCCGTTGGGATAAAGCCATCCGAAACGACCATCTGTTTTTGCCCTACATTGAGCATTACCCCACACAGACCTATGCTGGTTCCCACAAGAATGAGCTCATGTAATGTCAATGAATAAAAACCAGTGGTTTGAGCGTCGTACCGCCATCTTGCAGACGTTGTGCAAGTCTGATCACAGCCGCAACGTTCAACAACGTTAACTTCTTTGCTTGTTGTGTGGTCAACTAAAGCAGATATCCATCATGGTATAATCATTGCCATGAGCCGCCGAGAACTGAGCCGCACTAGTTATGTGGCGCAGACAGCAACTTAGAAATGAACTGCACTAGTGTTGTGGCGCAAAGAGCCGCTTAGAACTGAATCGCACTAGTGTTGTGAGGCAAAGAGCCGCTTAGAACTGAACCGCACTAGTGTTCCGAGGCAAAGAACCGCTTAGAACTGAACCGCACTAGTGTTGCGAGGCAAAGAACCGCTTAGAGCTGAAACGCACAAGTGTTGTGGCGAAAAGTTTTATGTAAAGAGTTAGCAAGGCAATTGGGTGCCATCCCCGGCGGCCCAACCTGGTCAGAATAGCCACCTCAGTAACAGTCTTCGCGGCTTCCAGAATAGCCACCTCAGTAACAGTCTTCGCGGCTTCCATCCTTCCAACAGAGGTTTTATTAAATACATTTCTAAAAAAATGTAATTTACATGTTTAGACTAGACGCTTGCGATATCAAACACGAAACAACAATTTATATAGATAACCCGGCCGCTTATCTCCCCTTTGACTTGGAACGAGTAGTGGCTATGACGCCTAATTAAATTATAACAAGAAAAAATCGAATTATTTTCTTTATAAGGCACACATTATACATCGAAATAAAGAATGAGTCCGGGCTGCTCTTTCTTGAAAATCATACGTCCATGGTTACATTAAAGTATATTCAAAAGGGACAGTGTTTGCGTACTTGATGTTTCATAAATGTAATATTAGGAAACGTAATTTTCTCCTGGATTCGTCAATTTTAGTGAGGGTTTTTCTTGTACGTCCATGGTTACATTAAAGTATATTCAAAAGGGACAGTGTTTGCGTACTTGATGTTTCATAAATGTAATATTAGGAAACGTAATTTTCTCCTGGATTCGTCAATTTTAGTGAGGGTTTTTCTTGTACCAACTTTACAACAAAAAAAAAAAAAAAAAAAAAAAATCATATCTTTTATCACTTGGTTTAACATACTTCTAAAATAAAGTATGCGCCAAAAGCATAACAGTACTGGAACGCCCGCTTCTTTTCAGAACTCTCACGGAATCATTCCAACATCCTTTCCAAAATCGCCCCCTCCCCCATTCACCAGCACTTAAATATGAGTTTAAATCAGGTCAAATTTGAATACTTTTTCCTCCGTCTAGAGCAGTGGTTCTAAACCTTGCTAATGCCCCGACCCATCAATACAGTTCGTCATGCTGTGGTGACTCCCAACCATAAAATTATTTTCGTTGGTACTTCATAAATATGCATTTTCCGATGATCTTAGTCTACCCCTGTGTAAGGTTCGCTCGACCCCAAAAGGGGTCTTGACCCAAAGGTTAAGAACCGCTGGTCTAGAGACCCATTAACAACTAAAAATGCTATGCAAATTTTCACATTTACCCCCAGGGAGCCATTGGCGATTGGAGCTATGCACCTGTGACAAAAAACCACGGACCCGTTCAAGATGGGCAAGTTTCAGAACTGTTACCTTTTTGGCTCATACCGTATGGTCTAAAGTCACGAAACATTGAGAAGATCTGGAAATGTGTAAACCAAGGCTGCGATGGCAACACAGAGAGCTCGGTCTAAGTGATTCAGAGCAGAGGCGGCGCCGTGCGGGTCATCTTTGTCAATGATGGGCGACCTTGGCCAGAGTTTGTTGTTGCAGTAGTCTTCGCCCTCACAAGAGAAGAAGCACCCATGGCTCGTACCGTAGTCTGTGCAGCCGTTCTCTTGACTGTAGGCGCCACAGCCCCGGTAGAAGAACTTTGGCTGTCCCGTCTCTGAAACCCGAAGGAAATTTAAGGGATATAAATAGATGCACAAACCCTAACCCAACCTACTTGAATCTGCCGTGATAACACACTTGGTTTGTTAACACTAACCTTAACCAAACCAACTTGAATCTTAATCTGCCGTGATAACACACTTGGTTTATTAACACTAACCTTAACCAAACCAACTTGAATTATAATCTGCCGTGATAACACACTTGGTTTAACACTAACCCTAACCCAAAACCTACTTGAATTATAATCTGCCGTGATAATTCACTTGGTTTAAAACTAACACATACCCTAGCCCAACCTACTTGAATCGTAATCTGCCGTGATAATACACTTGGTTTCACATTTGATTCTCCGCTCGCCTCCTGTCCAGTTAGCGGGTGCGGTGGTGCACTCGATCCCACGACCGTTGAGGACGTACTGACAAGACCAGCACATCTGCCTGCCACCTGGGGAGAAAGTTCGACCCAAAAGAGTCATGCCGGAAACTTTTGCCGTCGGCCATCTTCAACAATTCATTCAACTGCCTTTCATCTGCTTAAACCATACAAACAAACAGTTTTGATCCACTAAATAAAGAGGCGTTGTCTCATTCAGCGGAGTTTTCATAGTTTTAGCAATCCTTATATCCACCATTGTTCCCATGGGAACAGAAGCACAACGTGGACTCTGCCCAGTGCCCAGCCGAGAAAGTCTACACTCGGGGATTGGGTTGTGACCTATTTAGTTTATGGACCGCCATCTTTCCGAACCATAAAAATACCTAACTAAACATTATACATTTGGTTTATCTCAATGTTTGCATTAAAGATTTCAAAATATTTTTTGGCTAGAGCTAAGCTATCATATCTTACCTTCAGTTCAAATGTGACTTCGCTGATTGATACAAAATACGCTGTAAATCCACTTACCAACATAACCTGTACAGCACAGTACTAAGAGCAGGAAGCTCACAGTGAAACACCTGCTCCCCATTGTAGATCAATATTGATTATATCCTGTCTGTGAGCTAATCCAATCTCCAGGCTGTGATATAATCCTGATATCTTGGCTGTGAGCTTATCCTGATATCTCAGCTGTAGTCCAGTCAGGATATCTTGGCTGTGTGATCTTATCCTGATATCTCAGCTGTAGCCCAGTCAGGATATCTTGAATGTGATCTTATCCTGATATCTCAGCTGTAGTCCAGTCAGGATATCTTGGCTGTGTGATCTTATCCTGATATCTCAGCTCTAGTCCAGCCAGGATATCTTGGCTGTGATCTTATCCTGATAACTGGCTTTGTCAAATGGAAGTTGATCCCCTTCAAGTTGTTCCTTTAGAAGCAGCTCGTATAGAACAAAAGGGTTCCATAGAACAATAGTTGTGAAGAAAGTAAACGAATCTCACTCAAGTTGATCCAGAATCATCCTATTCTTTCAAATTGATTTTTTTCGATCAATGACAATAAATATGCTCTCTATTTGAGATGTTTCCAGAATAGAGTTATTGTGTGTGCCGTATCTCAATTCACAAAACGATTCCATATAAACACTTGTCTCAGTTTGTGACTTGACTCATTTACTGATGAAGAAAAAGTATCGCCTGTGCCCGGCGTCGGAAGCATCATGTGAATAATTCAGGGTGCAATGGTGAATACCTGCAGTAACAGAAGAAGCAGTTAATAATTTTAATACCAATATTTTTCATCTTTTTTTCAGGACAATGTTTAAAATGTGGGATATTTGAATTCGTACCGTTTAAGGCCGTAATTTTTTTTTTTCTCACAGGCGACTAAAGGGTTTACGAACTTCTTGCATTATACGGTTACAGTGGTGAAGTCAAAGTACTAGAGTACCACCGTAATAGTGTACCACCGTAACAGTGTACCACCGTAATATTGTACCATCATAGCAGTATAATAGTGTACCATCACAACAGTGTACCACCGTAATAGTGTACCATCATAACAGTGTACCACCGTAATAGTGTACCATCATAACAGTGTACCATCATAACAGTGTACCACCGTAATAGTGTACCATCATAACAGTGTACCATCATAACAGTGTACCACCGTAATAGTGTACCATCATAACAGTGTACCACCGTAATAGTGTACCATCATAACAGTGTACCACCGTAATAGTGTACCACCGTAATAGTGTACCACCGTAATAGTGTACCATCATAACAGTGTACCACCGTAATAGTGTACCATCATAACAGTGTACCACCGTAATAGTGTACCATCATAGCAGTGTACCACCGTAACAGTGTACCACCGTAATAGTGCACCATCATAACAGTGTACCACCGTAATAGTGTACCATCATAACAGTGTACCACCGTAACAGTGTACCACCGTAATAGTGTACCATCATAACAGTGTACCACCGTAATAGTGTACCATCATAGCAGTGTACCACCGTAAATTGTACCATCATAATAGTGTACCACCGTAACAAAATACCACCATCATAGTGTACCACCACAATAATGTAGTACTATAAGCTGATGTTAATTCAACCATCACAGTAAGCTGATGTTAATTCAACCATCACAGTAAGCTGATGTTAATTCAACCATCACAGTAAGCTGATGTTAATTCAACCATCACAGTAAGCTGATGTCAATTCAACCATCACA